GGTCTCTTGGCGGGGTCATCAGGGCGTGTAAGAGAGGGATATGCAGTCTTGCGAAATTCAAAGTGGAAGATAACCTCATAAACTGTTTAGAGTTGGCAGAATACATTGAAGGTTAACAAACATTCTAAAAATGTTTCAGACAATTATGAATACTGTATAAAAGGACCTTCCTATACGATTGTTAATAATGATAGTTGCTGCTACAGAGGCAGCAACACCTCAGGACCATATACATACTCATTGCTCCAAGAATGAATTTCTGCAGATCGTTCGGACAATAAGGGAATTCAAAAAAAGCAGGAAAACGTAAGCAGTGGCGCTGAAACGAGGATGGAAGCAGAAGTAAAGGTGAGTAAAATCAGCGGGCTTAGGCTCAAGACTCGATTGCAACTCAAATTGAAGGCTAATTGCCAATGATTTAGGCTGAGCTATGATGCACCTTCTTGTACACCAGAGCAGCACTATGCAACCAGGGAATACAACGATTTCTGCTTTACTGAGACCAACTGAAGCAAATGAACTAATCGCTTGAGTGGCATGAACAACAAATAATGTGACAAAACAGATGCGCATATATGTGAAAGGCATAGATATCCAGAGAATTTCATTCTTGAACAATTTCGTTGCAAAACAATTTCAACATTCAACAACAAACAACAATCATAAAACAGGAAAAAACTCATACAAATATTCGTAAAAAAGAACTATAGGATTGTAGCGTATGTAGGCACATACGTAAAGCTATAATTCAAATACACTGGTAGAATCATTCATTGGAAAAGGCGGTTGACGGAAAAGACCGGCTTATCTTCATTTAATGATAATAATAATAACTATTATATTTCATCACACTCATGAGAGTGCGCCCGGATATGGCAGATAAGAATCAGTACAATCTCATAGAATGATTCAGTGCCGCACACATAAAACTACGGCGGCTAGCAACATGCAGTAACTAAGCAAAAAAATCAAGGCAATAGAACCTCCAAAGGTAGGCAGTTATTTTTGGCTATCAGACTTGTTGTGCAACAGTGAGATCGGGATTGAATCGAACGTCTTGAGTCGGTAAAACGTACCGACACGTAGCTGGCTTTTTCCAGCTCTCTATGTCAGCGCGGTAAAGTTGAAAGCATGGCAGAAGCAGAGGAGCGTTTACTGAGGAATCCGTGTTTGCAGGATGCAGCAGGTTATATTCATCTAGGTGACTCATGTTGTGAGAACAAGTAAGTTTTCCATGACTCCGCTAGTGCAACAAGTCAGACAAATGGGTTGATAGTTTTCAGGCAATTTACGATTGCCTTCTTTATAACAGGTTCATCTAGTCTAACTCTCCAAATATCTGGGCACACGCATAACAACAGGAACCTGTTGAAGAGCAACTGTTGAGGCAAGGGCAGCATTTTCGTGAAATATGTAAGGACTTCCTTTAGGTGAGGTTTAGCATCTGTTGGGTGGCTTTGAAATTTCTCCCCACTGTAGAATATGGGTGGGAGAGGTAGCGGGGCTTGAAGGGTCATGTGGTTTTTATAATTCGCATGGAAAAACACAGCAAACGGTTCCTTCTCGTCCCGATCCTCTCTTGCAAATTTACTACTGATGTAGAGGTCCCCGATTCCTCGCGTCACATTTGATTATCGCAATAATTGAGGAAGAGTCGTGAGTTTTTCTTCTTGACAAATTTTTCCTTCGGCCACAATGAAACGAGCCAATGCACGTTGGAACTTTGGAACCCACTTCTAGTTCGACCATAAAAGCTTAAATCAGCATGCACTAGCCACTGGACTGCATCAGCACTCTAGCCGGGAGCCGTAGAATATTTCTTAGCATGGACTTTGCTTCAATTCCAGATTTAGTGCTTAAGAACGGAAATATCGATGTAAAGGGAGTGGCAGACGGCAACAAATTTCGAGTAAGACTCATTCAGTACCTCGACCTATAAGAGCCACTCACTTAAATTCAGCAAGTTCCCTGCAGATGCTTACAAAATCGTCCTCAGCAAATTCTGGAGGAGGAGTATTCAACACCTACCTGTAGAGGATAGGACTAGACAATAAAATGCCCATGCACCGCTGGTCAGAGGTGCCGGAGGAAGGTAAGACTTTAACCTTTTTGAACAATCTGAGACCGAATGTAAGAGCAATGTTAAGTATGTTCAGGAAAAGCGTGGGCTCCGTAACTAACTGACTGAGGTCCAACTATGCAAAAAATTAAGCCGACCAGTTGAAGAGACAGTGTTGAGATATCAACGATGGCTGTGTGACGACCAATCAAGCCCAGGGAAGTTGAGTTTCCACGATCATTACTTGATTAGAATTTTCGAGGGTGACATATTTCAAAAAGGTCATAAGCTCCTTAAAAACATAATGGCAAGAAGTTTGGCTTCTGTAAACAGTGGACAACAATATGGGACGAGAGCCAATCACCGTCTTTCTAGCGAATACCTGGCAATATTCTGAGAAATTCCTAGTTGCAATGCACGTGTGCGGTGTACCCATGCGAACTGTAACTAGGACACCGCATCCAGGCCCGGGGGTTGTATGGACGCGAACGGTCCCGATCAGCGTTCGTAGGTGACTGAGTGTCAGGAATGAAGTCAACATCACCTTTAGGAAGATCCTCGATCCGCTTCATCTCGCTGCGTCAGACCACCAAAGAACGACTGTCAAGCTTTCGAGTACGGTCGCGGCATTTTTGCCTCTTCACTTCCATTTTCGGTCAGCATAAGTCATGCTTTAACGCACTTGCACAGTCTGAAATGCAGAAGAGTACTGCTCACGCGAGTTAGTTAGAGTGGACTTAGAAGATAGCACAACCTTTACCAGACAAGCGATAGTCTTCACTTTGCTTTCCTGATCGATATATCCCAACTGTCCGGCCCTCTAGTCGTAAACATCAAATATAGCCTGTATCGTTTTGCCTAGCATATAGAGTAAATTAGAATTAGAGCCTTCGGCACCCCTAGACCTTCCATCCGACTATATACTTTCAGTTATCTCACTTGGTATCTTAACAATAGGAGCCAATTTCATGTTTTTTATCACGGGATATTTACTGCGCTCGGGGAGAGCATTCAGATTTTCAGAAACCAAAAGTTTATAGCAACCGGCCTAAACTGTATTGTTCGCACTAATATCATGAAACAGACTTCGACTAACATTTGCTGCGCCCTGAGATTCTTTGCCTTTCTTTGACCTCTGTCCATCGCCTGTATGACCAAAAATCAATAAGTGCAACGCAATAATTGAACCGAAACAGGACGAAGTCCAGATCACCAACTCAAGCGAGTAACTCACAAGACGGCAAACTATTCGCAAATTCGATTCCTTCAGAATAATACAGTTGAATACTGCTGAGGTAAATTGCACAAAACTGGCATAAACAAAAAAATCACAAAATGGAAGGACGGGTCTCAAGAAGCAGCCAGTCGCGATCACGGCACCGGTGTACTATAACTACTATTTTCCCCACGGGAATGATAATAGAACATTCTATCATCTCGCTAATATTTCTTCAGTTCTGGTCACTTTGCGACACTTTGCGAAGGTCCAAAGAGATTATTGCTATGAGAAAGGGCAGGAAATAGACCGAGTTTTTCAGTCATAAAACTGGAATGCTACTACTTTTTCGAGTATCGGCAGGAAAGTTATCTTTTTCACTGACCTCGAAACTCGGGCAGCTGTTTTATGCTTGCAAAACGAGCTCTTCGTAGCCTATACCAGAATCTATCGCGACCAATTCGACGAAAGAAACTGCTTATAAATTGCTTCTACAACTTTGCTCATCGATAACCTCGTGTGAAAATTAGGCACGCCGCGATGGAACTGAAAGTTGTACGGGATTATCGTGATGGGAATGACATGAAGTGGGTATTTAAACTAGATTTCAGTTGTTAGAAATGAGCAAAGGGCTGTCTACATCAAGCTAAAACTGTCCCGAATCGGCCTTCCCTGTCACTATGGGACATGTAAAGTTATTTCATCTCCCGTTAGAACTCGTCTGCGCATACGCAGGGGCAATGTTGGGCATTTATAACTCCCTATCTGGGCCCTTTTCCGACCATTAAAAAGAGAAAAAGAAGCTTTTCATGGCCATCGGAAATAGCTGTCACTTTGACCAATCGATCGAAACACTTTTCCAAATTAACTCGATAATGGGGATCTGTGACGAAGACTAGCTATATTGATAGCCTTGCAATGTCTCTTCGGTCGCTGTTCTCCTACTCGCTGCTGCAGTGGAAACTACTACCGAGTGCTTGCTTTGTGCTCAATTTTCAAACATACCCGAACATGCCAAAGACAGGTCGTCGGCCTCTTTTACTATCTGCTATGTAGACGCTTATTTTCAGAACGAGAGAAGCTGAGCAGGTGGGTATTTGTATCAGTCAGCTGTATCTGTGATCTGACCTATTATCATTCCTAGCTATGACCTTTTAAAAATCCTTTTTACTTATTCAGTTTTCACTTTATGGCCAGTTTTTTTTGCATATCTTAGAGTTTTTGCCACAATGGTATGGAACTGTTCTTGTTGCAGTTATCGATTTACTGGCGGTTATTTAACTGGATTACATTGTTCTTTTAACCTGTGCGATAGGATCCTCCTCTGGATTATGACTTAAGTTCCCAAACGTATCGTTTCTTAAGTCGGCAGACCACTTGGTCCTGCTCCCTTTATCAGAAAGAAAGTGTGACCGGAAAACAATACTCACTCAATAAAGTAATTATGTGTAACATAGAATAACATTTCACAGTAGCTATAGCGATTTCTTTCCTTCTTCAGCACCATTAGCATACCATGTCAACGAACTACTTGTCTGCGACATTGTTCCTGCCCAACTTACATCTGGCCAAAACATCAACAAATCCTTTGGGAAAAGAATTTTTTAGGAAGCCTACGACCGATTTTGGGAAACCAAAGCACTTGGACTGGCACTTTAAAGAGAAGGTCATCGACGAGGTCCGAGATTTCTGCTTATGCTAGAGGAGCGGGTTGGGATGAACACAATGATTTCTGACAATCAATTCATACATCAAGGAATGACCGATTCGGAAGACTTGCCCGCTCAGAAGCGAAAGGTATATATCTCGCGAAGTGGGACTGACTACAAATACGCAAAAGACCTGATTCCAATAACCCATGACAGTATGAACAAGTAGGGCCAATACGTAGAGGTTTTTGGCAGGCAAATGAGTTCCTAGTGGTTAAGGAGACTGTGTGTGGAAAGAAAGGTGAAAGAAGCTCCCACGGATGACGAGTACATCGAGGAAAACAAGGGTGAAGAAGAGGAAATGGGCTACGCGGACCGCAATCCAGAAATTCAAAAAGGAATCGTGCTGTCCAAAGCCAGAATCGAAAGTACATAGTTCCTCTATAGAGAGAGCTCAAGTATGCCATTTGGCACCTGTTACAGAGGAAAATTTGTTAGATCTTGCTTAATGCATGCGCTGACAGAGGCACGGAATCTCAACTGTGGAGCGTTTTTCGAATTCCTTTATAGCAATAACGGAAGGAGATGGGTGCACTGTTTTGTCGAGAGAAGGAACTTATGCCAGTATTGCAAAGTAGTGACCTGAACAGAATATGGCTTTAGCTGTCCGGTAATTTTTTTGTGGAGTGGCCATCACCGCGCTTTTTGCAATATCCAGAACTAGAAGAATTCCATCGTAGACATTAAGAGTTGAAAATCGGAATGGAAAGAACAAAAGGGCTCCTTCGACGCTGCTGGCTTGATGTAGCAGAAATACAGCTTTTCTCCCAATTTCAAGCGAGCCCTGGTATTTTCACATTTTTTTGGTGTCTCTCTTGTTCTCATGAGCATGAGAGAGCTTCGTCCCCAAAAGCCATTTTATGAAAAAATTTGTGTCTACAGAGAAAGATTTTAGAACTTCACAGTACCACATCGGGGAAGATTTTCTGCGGAATATACTAGTGTTAATTCGATCACCCTTCTTACACTTTGGCATCCCCGGCAAGCCATGCATGTTCTGTAGGCAGCCAGATCTTCTCAAGCTTGAGCCTTTTTCCAATGCTTGTAGGCTTAATTCCTAGCGCTTTCCTTGCGCAGCGTAAAATGAAGTAGCAAAAGCATTATAACTAGAGTTGAATGCATGTAACCACAGGAACGAAAATTCATTCCGGCACTCGGTTCTTACAGTAATCCGGCACGTGTTAATACGCATATTTTTACCCGTCA